TGGAGATGACCTTCTGAAAGCACTGATGCTCGCTCGTACCGAGCTAAACTGTTCATTTACTGGCCAGGGAGGCCGTGACGTCATTTCAGACCTGTTAGAGACCTTCGTAAAACCAGATAAGCCGAATGAAAGGAAACCAAGATATTACAGGTGTGTATGTTCTCATAAGCTAATTTTTTACCTGCGATAGTGAGAAATTGTCTTTATGGAGAATGTGTCAATAGCTACCAGAAAAAAAGCTAACATCTTGGAAGAGAAGAGTTTTGTCAGGTCTTACAATTTTTCGTTATAGTAAAAAAATTCGAAATACGTTGAAATCCCTGTATCTCGACCCTCCTTCTACCCCTCTTCTTATCGGAACCAATCAGTTGACACGGGCACGAGATATTCAGGGTATATCAGTGGTATACAATGTTTCAAGTCTAATATAAAGGAAGATATGGCCTCAAGTTTGAGATGGCAAGACTCCACCGTTGTCTTTAGCACTTACCTAACGGCTTGTTCCTCATAGCTTGAAAGGCATTGGGCTAAATCTTATCCTATTTTTCGTTGACTTTATCAATTTTCTCAATCATTAGCCTGGCTCGCTCCATGTTAGTTTGTTCTGATCCCTGGTGCGTTTTTCTTTATGGCTCAAGGTAAATTTTTAAGCTGCAGCACGCTGAAACTAATCCGAATACCGTTAGCCTCTTACAACCTAACGTCAGTCTCTCTTAGGGGTCAATGGGTTATCTCCAGAGTTCCTTTGATTCAATGGAGGTTACATGAGCTCTTCAAATTGACTTAGGGCATTCATTCTTTTCCGCTTAGATTTAAAGTTGAGTACTACCAAGATGAGGTTGGCAAAGTTGGTGAAGGTGAAATTATGATGATAAGGCCACGGGATCCACGCAAAGGTGACCAAAGCGAGGTCAAAACCTGGGAAGAATTTGGTTTCAATCTGGAGCCGAATGACTGGGGAAATAGTCCGTATTTGACTGGGGAGGAAGTCGATAATTTGACCTTCTGCTGCTGTGAGTGCTGCAACAAAAAGTCCTGCCTAAGCGGTTTGTCCGAGCTCTTCTGTGACAAGTTCCCAAACACTTCTACTGCAAATCAATTTTTCACGCCTTTGCAGTTCTCCGCCTACCACAGTGAAGGTTACCGAGCATGCATTGAAGCGCAAGCCGCTGAATTCCTCATGGAGGAACAAGATATCCAAGAAGTATGAGATACACAGGCGAGGCTGTGAGCATGTAGCTATAGAGACATTGTATGCAAATGTCGGTGTTTTCATGCATACAAAACATCAACAAGAGTTAAAGGTCTTAGCCCTTCAACACTTTCTAAAAGCGCTGTTTTTGCAAAAAAGACTGCACTCGAGCCCAGCCGAAGCTTAGCCCAGTTTCCTTGGCATAAAGCGACTAGGAGTATTAATACTTTCCCCCCCGATGTGATGCTAATCTATCGCAGGATTACCCCCCAGCATTTCATCAGGCTTCCCTCAAAATTCACCGGTACCCTGGAGAGTAAAATGTTTTGCCCAAGAACACAACACAATGACCAGGTCTCGAACCCAGTACTTTCGAATTGTTTTCCGCCGTACTTACCATTAGGCATCCTAGCGACCCATCACTGTCTGCCAATGTAGAAGAATCAATTTGCAAAGTATACAGTGTACCGAGACCATATCTATTTTCATCGAGGTCCTAAAATAATGCTTTAACGTGTTTTATAACATAGCGCACGTGCTTGCCCTATATAAGTCCTATTGAGCCGCTATGAACGAAATCTTTATTTAAGCACACCCGTGCGTAAATAAGATGACGTGAGCTTTTTTTTTAACCTGGCTTTAGAGTTTCCGTCCTGTTAAGCTGCAGTGCAGTTTTCCTTCTCTTTGAAATATGGAAGAAACCAGCGAAGAACTGACCAATTTTCTATGGGCGTTGACCTTTTAGGTCCTCACCCAACAAGCAACAAAAATAAAGCCGAAAAAACTCGCAAGTTCCATGTTTCGCAAATTTGTCGGAAGACCAGCCGCAGCAAATTTTAGCCGAAAGACATTCACTGGGAACAAAAAAATTCACCAATTGGCCATTAACAACATTTAAAGGTAAAATTTCCGTTTTCATTGTTGTTTTTAGATTTGTTCAACCTAGGAAATAAAGTACACAGTTGTTAATTGGGAATTTACCAAAACCAAAACAATCAGGGCCGCAAAAAATCTAAATCTAAAACCATTTCTCCGTAAATTTTGAGCTTTTCATTCACAGCTATCGGTTAACTGGATCAAATGTTCTCGCTCAAACCAAAGTATAAAATGTGGCGTGTTTTTGACCAACTAATGAGGAAGTTTGAATTAACAGGTGAGGTCGGGCAGTGCAATTAACGAACTTTTCTCAGTCCGGGCAAGACTATTAGTCATTCTGCGGCAACTTGAAGCACTTGGTATTGTATGTGACGCCTATTCGTTTCCATGCTTTTGAAAAGGGATTACTCGTTAAAAGGACTATGAGGCGCTGACCCGGGTCATGGTAGTGGTTTGGCCTGTTTCGCTTGTATCCATCGGTTGTCATATATGGACGGTTAGAGGCTATAATTGGCTGTTTTCTATCACCCCGCCCTAAATTAATTGGTCGTCAGTCGCATTTGAAGCTTTCAATGGAAGTTGCGGAAGAAATAACAATTTTCAATATTCTTATGGAAGAGAGATCTTTCTATGTAGTGGAAACAAAAATTCGTGTCACTCAATGAGAGATAACTTTGAGCCGATAAAAAATTTTAGCGATGTCCTCCACGCCAAGCCTGCCAGAATACTGATGATCGTTAATAATGAATTAATAGTAATAAGTTAGGTACCGTTTGAAGCAAATGCATGTAAGGACCATTCATCTGCTCTGTAAGTGCCCGTAAACGACATCATCACACCAAACCTTTCGTATACCTTCCTATCAGAAGAAATCCAAATGTGGGCCGGTCAATCAAATCAATCAATTGTTAACTAGTCAATAGATTTCCATAGGGGATATTTCATTCATTCTCGTCACTAAGGTGCTATGAGCTAAAGGTCCTAAGGGCAGTTGTTAGATAGTAGTGAGGACGGCTGCACTGGAGAGGCTAGCGGTTTTCATGCCATCTACCCCCTCCAAAATGGACACATACTATTGATGAGAGCAAACTCTCCGGAAAATTTATTTCATTGTGTAGTTTTCACTTGCTGAAGGGTCATTTTACACTTTCATACCGGGAGGTCTGAGTTCTAGTTTAGCGGCTTGTGAGGACAGCTGAACAAACATGGCGGCCATGTAAACAAGGAAGTGCGCAAAGGGAGTACCGTATACCGCCAAGGCAAGTGGTTTTGCAGCTCTGCTTAGTGTACCAATGATTTATGAGCTTACAAAGCGAAAAGGAATTAAAGAAATTTTCTCGTTTACCCCGTGACCCTGAAACAACTGCTTACATCTGTCCTTACAAGCGGCTAAACTAGAATTCAGACCTCTCGATATGAAAGCCCCTAATTATAGATCTCTACCTTTGAGTGTTTTTTTTGTTTGTTTTGTTTTGGTTTTTCTTTTTTTGGGAGGGGGGTTGG